ATTTCGTATATATTTAGCATTTATATTTTATTGAAACGCTGCAGGTGCCTGTGGTTACCTGTAGTTACATTGTGTTACCTGTGCGTAGTTCTTATTACCTTCCCTCTATTACCAGTAGCGGGATATTGCATCAGCTACTTCGGAAACCACAGCTACCTGTATATATATATATAGCACGTATATATAGCATCGCGCCCGCATGCAGTTTAAAAAATTCTTACAATTGCAATTTTCGATCGTAAGTCGGCAGCGGCGGCGGCGGCGGCGCGGCCGCCGCGGCGAATCGGCCGTGAATTAGGTTACGACAGGTGAGCGTCAGTACACGTGCAGGCAATTATTACGTCTAACAGCTACTTCAAGAAATGCGAAAATCAATGCAACTATACCCGTATCGCCGCAGGTTTCTCTAATCAGTATAGTAGTATGCATGTTAATAATTGATAGTGGGCGCGGCTTCTGCGCACGTGACGTCGGTTACGAGGCGCCGGCGCACCGGGAGAATTCTCGCCATGGTTCCTAAACCCAAAACGTCGTCGTGGCGCGAAAGTTCTACACAGGAAGGAAGACTGAAACCAGCGGTGCGGCGAGGGCAATTTAAGCAGAGACATCGTTCGTGCCTATACTTCGTGCATCGCGTGAATCGCACTGCTCTACCGTGTTATCCACTGGGCACTTGGGGACCAGGAGTTCAAGTAAAAACTGAAATAATATGAACGCACATTCACAAATACTACTCTCATTACACGTTCCACTGTGCTGTCACTGTATATCAACGTTGTCTTTCACAAAACTAAATGCCAGCAAGCCGCTCCCGCCCGCACGTCTATAATTACTATATCACTGGACAATGGCGCACAGACACTTCAGCGGCCTATATGTTTCTGCATCTAGCTTTTGTGAAGCAAAGTTAGATATAGGCCTTACAGTGACACAACAGCTGGAAATGTAATGAGATGGTAGTTATTTGTGAATGTGGATTCATATTATTTTCAGTTTTACTGACTCTGGCCCAAGTGCCTGTGGGATGATATCCACTCCCCTACACAGGCCTGGGCAGGGATGGGGCGATATGCTACTAGGGGTGACACGGATAGAACTAAATTTTACATGCGCGTGATACGCGTCCAGGTGGAAATTATTGCGTGCGGCACGACCACACGTGTAGCGAGTGATGCTCAGAGTGATGATAAAACTGAGATTACTTTGTTATTATCTGATCTTCTATTTTAAGCGACAACAGGGCAGAAGAACGCGAACATGATATGCAGGTAGTTCTGCGCGGGTGCGATCTGTAACGCGCGCCTGCGCTACAGCCTGTTACCGTGCGCGCCACCTGCAATTCTTGCCGCCTTACTACCGGTATCGCTCCATAGCCCAACTGCCAGCTATATTGAATGTTAAGGGCTGTTCCCATAGACATTCAATGTTGTAAATGTTATATTAGTGGCGGCGCGAGTCGCGGCTTCATATAAATATCAAGAGCTATAATGTACACACATATATACGCACGCACGCACGCCACGCACTACCGTACGCTGTCGCCGCTAGTCCGCACTGTTCGCCTGTCCCGCCGCCCGTCTTTATAGTAAGCGCCTTAAATGCCAGCCATGACTTTCTCTAAAGCTGCTAGCCTATTTTAACGAAACACTGGTTAAGGTGCGGTATCGGTAACGAAACGAAGGGAAAGGAAGATAATAATTAAAAGGAATGACCTAATTAATTAAGTTATATACATCATGATTATGATTAAGTTTGTTCGTTCGTGTTTGACAGCACGTAGGAAATCACTGACATATATCGCCTGCCTCCTTATATTACACAGGCCGCAGCAGTTACCGGGCGACTGGCAAAGCAACAGATTTACGATTTTGGGGGGAGCTGATGCCCATAAACTGCAACTAGAGGACCATAACTGCTACGATCAACCGAGGATCCCTTACCACCGAAGGTATACGTAGCTACTGCTTATTGGCCGTGAGCTATGAAATCACGGGCTGACTATGATCTAGAGTGAATAATACCTTAAGGTATTATTAATAAGGTACATATAACGCGCTTAATATAAGGTTATATTTATTAATGGGGTTAGGTAATATATACTATAAATGGCTAATATAAGGTAAGTATATAGAGTATATTAAGGTATATATAATATAAGGTAAATAATGTAATAAGGGTTAAATAAGGTTTATTATTAGCCTCTTTGATATATCTTAGATGAATAATTAATAGATTCTATCTATTTATCTATTATTATTCACTCTTTGATTATTATTCTGAGTCTCGTGCGCATTTTTCGATCGCAATTCGTGATTAGCTGCTGTGAAGATCATTCACCATGGCGTTAGTATTTATATCATGACATATTGTACCACTGCGACTTTACTTAACACGCAAGAAGCAAATTGCTCCGACACTACGACACACATGCGGATTAAAGGTACAGTGCCATCTAGAGTTAATATCTACGAAACTGTTTGGCATGAAATCAGTAAGATTGTTCCTCACTGTGCATATCAGGATTGTGTTGCTTTGAGGGTACACGCGTGATACCGCACGAAAATCACCCGCCCTGCCAGAAGGAAGCGATTATGAAGACCAGGTGCGCCGCCAACAACGAAATCGTTGACAATTGTGTAAGTGGTGACACGCAACGCTGCTGGAAGGACACGCTCACGCTGCAGTCTGCCTCAGGTTGATTGCTGT